TGGGTGCAGGGGCCCAAGGACTTGGATCATCCTCTATTCCTTTCCTGGGCCATAGCAGAGAGCTGGATGGGAAGAGGAGCAGCCGGGACTAGAACTGGCGCCGATATGGGATGCTGGCACCGCAGGTGCAGGATTAACCTACTGCGCCACAGCGCCAGCTCCTAGAAGTACTTCTATCAATTGACAATCATAAATAAATGACTATAACCAGTGGTATACATATGATCTCTTTATCTCCATGACTTCCCTTTTTAGGGACCCTGGGATTGAGATTCTAATCATCCTTGACAGTTGGTCTTTCCTCTCCAGTCCTCCATCACCACAAATACCTGGGGTCTAAAGAGACCAGGCTGTTGGGGCTGGTGCTGTGGCTCACTTGGTTAATCCTCCACCTGCGGTGCCAGCATCCCATATGGGTGTCCGGTTCTAGTCCCGGTTGCTCCTCTTCCAGTCCATGGCCCGGGAGGGTAGTGGAGGATGGCCCAAGTGCTTGGGCCCTTGCACCCACATGGGAGACCAGGAGGAAGCACCTGGCTCCTGGCTTCAGATCAGTGCAGCGCCAGCCATAGCGGCCATTTGGGGAGTGAACCAATGGAAGGAAGACCTTTTTCTCTGTCTCTCCCTCTCACTGTCTGTAACTCTACCTCTAAAAAAAAAAAAAAAAAAAAAAGAGAGAGAGAGAGAGAGAGGGAAAGAGAGAGACCAGGCTGTTGAAACTCAGAGATGAACATTTTGTTCCTTTAATTCAGAGAAGCATTCTTATACAAAGTAGAATCATAATAGTATAGATTTAATAGACATTTATGCAAATCAAGAATCTAAAATATAACATGTTAGTACTAGTATTAGTATTCTTGAATTCATTTGGTGATATGTTTAAGCAGGCCAATTTCAAGCTTGTATAGACTACTCATTTCATTTTATATAGATGACAAAATATATGTAAAACTTCCAGCACAGTGCTTATCACATATGAATTTATTACATATTGTTTACTCCCCTAACAAAGACTTTTAATAGCCTATCTAATTCTAAGGTTGGAATTTATATATAGCATTTATGTATTGACTTGAACATTAAGGAATTCAAAACACTGAATTATATTAAGATGGGATTAAATGTAATGACTAACCATACACTGCTGATATTTGCTTCCTCAGGAGTTAATGAAAGCTGTTTCAAATGAGGGCTTCTCAGTTGCTATCTTTTATCTCTGGTCAGGTTTTGTGACTTCTTATAATACTTGTGGTTGGCTTTCTCTGGTGTGTAGGGAAAGCTGGTGCACTTGAGGCTAACCTCATGCCACTATGAGAAAGTATGAGAGTTAATGTATGTATGTGAGATACATTATATAGGTTTTACATACATTACACCTGAAATGACACAAGTAGAATGTAGTAAAAATATTAAGAAGAAGCATGGTTCAGAAGTGCAAGTTTTGGAGGGCAGTACTGCAGTGAAAAGAGCCGAGTTAAGAATAGTTCTTCCTACACTGCTTCCTGCTTGGGCTTCATCTGCTCCTCAGGGAACATGACTTTAGTGCAGTCCCAGTTGAGAGGATTTTGAAGCATTGTTCCCATGGCAACAGGCTCTAAAGTGATATAAAACCAGAAGAACTTTCCCTGGTTATTCCATCATCCAAACAAGAATCCTCTAAGGCTCTTGGAGAAAAGTCAACTTTTAATGACACTTGAGTCTGCTTTGCTTTCTGTGCCCCAAGGGGTTCCTTTCCTGGGAGTCTCATTTCAGGTCCATTAGAGTGATTTATTTTTTCTAATTGTGAACTAACTGTGGTGGGCAGGAGAGCAAGGCTTTTAAGGAGCATAGTCACCAAGGCAGTTGCAAATGCCTAGGTGTAAGATACACACTCAGCCCCTTGTTACTGAGCAGTGACTAAAATATATTCCACATGTGGGGGAATTGCAAATCCTGGACTATGTGGAAATGCCACCCAGATCTTACACATCACACATGGGACTGATATAGGGGCTGTAATTCACACACCACATGTGGTCAGGCAGCTGCCAATGAAATTCTGGTTACAAATTCACTGCATGTTGACCCCAGCTGCCCATCATGACCAAAATACATCTCTTATCAACTGAGTATTGTTTGAAATTTCATTATTATAATTTTTTTTTACTAAAGAGTTTGTCTTCATTAAAACAACATGCCCAGAAGAGGGTGTGACATGCATGTGACCCCTAACAAGTTTCAGAAGATGCGTGGTGATAACGTTGTGAGATCCTTTCTGAGAACTAGTTTTGTCTGAGAATAGAAGGTAGAACAAGAATTAGGATTGTGAATGTCTTGGCAAGAAGAATCCTTACTGAGATAAGAGGTGGATACAAACAGAAGACTGGGCACCATAGAGGGAACCTCATCCACTTCACAATTAGGCCTTTGTGGTGAGGAAGAAAGTGGCTATTTGAAAAGTGGGCATTGGTGGTGGGACAGGAAGTAGCAGCAGAGTGAGAGACTCAAGAGCTCCAAGGCTGTCTATGGATTAAGCTATGCTGGTGGTATTGACCTTAAATCAAGTTTTGAAAAAAATGCATCGTTTCCATGCTCCTCCTACCTCTGTCAGCTCTCTTCCACCCTGCAACTGCCCCCTCTTCCTTCTTTCAGGATCATGAGCATCATTCCTCCTCCATATTATATACATTTCATGTTTGTTTTATGTGTACTTTCTTTTTTTTAAAAAAAATTTTTATTTATTATTTGAAAGGCAGAGTAAAAGAGAAAAAGAGAGAGAGAGAGAGAGAGAGAGAGAGAGAGAGAAAGAGTCTTCCATTCACAGATTCACTCTCTAAATAGCCTCAATGGCCATGGCTGGGCTAGAATGAAGCCAGGAGCCAGGAGCTTCATCCAGGTCTCCCACATGGATGCAGGGTACACTGCTTTCCCAGGTACATTAACATGGGGCTGGATTGGAAGGGGAGCAGCCCTGACTGGAACCCACACCCATATGGGATGCTGGCATCACAGGTGGTGGCTTTACTAGCTACACCACAGTGCTGGCCCCTTGTGTATTTTCTGTAATGTTCATCAAGGCTCTTCCATGTGTCAGCCTCGCTGCTGGGCTCTTCCATGTTTCGTGGCTTAATTTATCTTTCACAGCAACCCAGTGAATTATAACTATTATCCCATTTTGTAAATGAGGAATAGAGAACCAGAGCTTAATAAATAGTTAACAGAACTCAATCTCAGTCTTCCATGTGGCAGGAACCCAAGTACTTGAGCCATTACCTTCTTTCCAGGATGTGCATTGGTAGGAGACTGGAATCAGGAGTGGAGATGGAACTCAAACCCAGGTGATAAGGAAAATGGGTGTCCCAAGCACTGTCCTAACAAGTGTGCCTAGCACCTGACTCTGAGACTCATGCTTCATTTAGGCCTCTACCACAAACCAGTTTAGTGACTGGTTGGATCTCAGTTTTTCTGGACTGGAAAACATAAGGTAGAAGATTGTATTAGCAGATTCCTAGTGTGACTGATTATCTAGGAGATTTTGAAAAGAAGAGCAAATCTTCTTTTTCTTCTTTTTTAAAAGATTTTATTTATTTGAGAGAATTACAGAGAAGGAGAGACAGAGAGAGGTCTTCCATCTTCTGGATCAGCTGGGCTGATCTGAAGCCAGGAGCCAGGAGCTACCTTCAGGTCTCCCACATGGGTGCAGGGGTCCAAGGACTTGGGCCATCTTCTACTGCTTTCCCAGGCCATAGCAGAGAGCTGGAGCAGCTGGGACATGAACCGGCACTCACATGGGATGCAGGCGCTGCAGGCGGAGGCTTAGCCTACTGTGTCCCAGAGCCAGCCCCAAGAAGTACAAATCTTAAAATCCCAACCTTAGAAATTCTGAGTTAATATATTTGGATTATGGGAGCAGGATATGTGCTTTTAGTAAGTACCTAGTTGTCCAATTCAGTTGTGTAGTCAGATTTATGAATCATAGGAGTAGATGTTCTTGTAACATTGTTTAAAAGCTTTGAGATCACAAGAGTGAGAATTAGCTGTCACTTAGCTCAAACTGGTGTGTGAGAGTCTGGTACTTCAAAGGGATAACTTTTTTTCATAAGAGAGAGGGCATTTGAAAAAGAGCAATGCAAAGAAAACAGGGAAACAGATGCTTAATGGGGTGAAGAAGAATCAAACCACCTTCAGGCTCAGTATCAGGGTCTGGAGCTTGGAAGGGGCTGAAATAACACAGAAGGCTCAGGGATGGAGTAAAGGATCATCAGGAAAACTAACAATTTAGCAAATTTGGAAAAAGAGCCTGTTAATGATGGGCATTGTTCTTTCTTGGAAGGCTCAAATTTCATGAGAAGACAGGTTGGTTTCTTCTCTGGACTGAACTGAAATGTAAGTGGCGTGTGGAATGCCAGCCTCTGAACTGGCAGACTCCTTTTCTTAACTTCTCTGGATCTTTCCCCATTCTTTCCCCTATTTAGTCAGGTGTGTTCTATTGTATCTTTTTCAAAACATCATCAGAGCCTTCAAAGCAAGGACCCTGTTTCATATACTTCATTGTTTCCCATGGGGAAATATTAAACATAGTTGCTAAGAACTCCAAATTTGGGGTGAGATAGAACTAGGTTTGCTCTGATTTCTGTAACTTAACATCTGAGGAATTATTTCATCTCCAAAATGGGGGTGATAAAACTCAGCTCAGAGGATTAAAATTAGGTATTATATGAAAAACAGTATTGTTTCCTGGCATTAGTATATAATTGTTTCCTGAGATTAGTATATAATCCTAGGATGGAAAATGTACTGAATATTTATTAAGTGATTAATAAATGATAAATTACTACCTTTGCACCAGGCTTTGCATATGTTCAAGTAGACATTAATTGAACAATTATTTTAATAATTCCAAGAGGCAATTTAAATATTATCAAGGATATAAGATAAAAGCAGAACTTATTTCTTTTTAAAGTTAATATCCGGGGCTATGATCCCAGGGGAATCTCTGGCTTTCTACTTGTAATCAGGTCCCTGGTCTCCAAGCCCAGAATAAAAGTGCTCAGTTTCTGGTCACTTCCTGATGCTGATGACAGGCAAGGATGTTGTCTCCCTCCTGAAAACTGGAGAAAAGCCTCGGGCCAAAGCCTGGCTCAGAGCTCATGTTCTGCAGCTCAGAAAGATTTCTGAGGCAGCCCGGGCTCTGATGCTCCAGTCAATGCAGAGACCGATGGCTGTGCTTCATCCTTCATCTGAGCTAGTACAACGGCTCATCTATCTGAACAACTGAGGGTAAGAGCCGGAACAAGGGGAACATCAGTGAAGCTGCAGGCTGAAGGGTGAAGTTGGGTCTGGCTGGGTGGTGGGAACTTTACCTAAGTCTCCACCTCACCCTTGTGTTCTGTCCAGGATGACCAGCAGGTGGACAGTCCAGATGCAGATACAGGGGCTCCAGCCTCTGAGAGGACTCTTTGGAGGGACTGCTCCCAGTCTTTGCAAACTGGAGCAGAAAATGGAATTGGAAGCACAGAGCAAAAGGGAAAAAGTAAAGATCAGAGTCCTTGGAGTCTTTCTCAGCAGCGTTTGACATCATGATGGGGCAAGGACACCAAGGGGGCAATCCAGAGGCAGAGTCACTTGGGGCAGAAAGACGAGCCCCCAGGGGCACCATTAAAGGCCCTGCTGCTGAAGCTGAAAACCGCTGTGTGCTTCCAGTTCTCACGAACGGGGGAGGTGATGGTGTGGGCAGCAGTGGTCTCTTTCTCTGAATGGCTCCTTTCCATTGTCCCCACAGAGTGCCATCGCGAGAATGGCAGCCGAGAATGCCTCCTCGGTAGCACAGTTCGTCCTCGCGGGCTTGACGGACCAGCCGGGACTCCAGATGCCCCTCTTCTTCCTGTTTCTAGGTTCTTACCTGGTCACCATAGTGGGGAACCTCGGCTTGATAACCCTGATTGGGCTGAACTCTCACCTGCACACCCCCATGTACTTTTTTCTCTTCAACCTCTCCTTCATAGATTTCTGCTATTCCACCGTCATCACCCCCAAAATGCTGATGAGCTTTGTCTCAAAGAAGAACATAATCTCCTATGCTGGGTGCATGACCCAGCTCTTCTTCTTTCTCTTCTTTGTCGTCTCGGAATCCTTCATCCTTTCGGCCATGGCATATGACCGCTATGTCGCCATCTGCAAACCCTTGTTGTACACAGTCACCATGTCTCCCCAGGTGTGTCTCTTCCTTCTGTTGGGTGTCTATTGGATGGGGTTTGCCGGGGCCATGGCACACACGATCTGCATGGTGAGGCTGACCTTCTGTGCTGATAACCTTGTCAATCACTACATGTGTGACCTCCTTCCCCTTCTTGAACGTTCTTGCACCAGTACCTATGTGAACGAGCTAGTAGTTTTCATTGTTGTGGGCATTGATATTGGGGTTCCCACAGTCACCATCTTCATTTCGTATGCTCTCATCCTGTCCAGCATCCTCCATATTCGCTCCACCGAGGGCAGGTCCAAGGCCTTCAGCACCTGCAGTTCCCACATTGTAGCAGTTTCTCTTTTCTTTGGGTCAGGGGCATTCATGTACCTCAAACCTGCTTCTCTTTTACCTATGAACCAGGGGAAAGTTTCCTCCTTATTCTACACCATTGTGGTGCCCATGCTCAATCCAATTATCTATAGCTTGAGGAATAAAGATGTCAAAGTTGCTCTGAGAAAAACCCTGAGCAAACATTCATTCTCTTAAAGGAGAAATGCTTAGGAAAGAAAAAAACATTTCTCCAGTGAATGCATCAGGCTCCATTGATTACATGGAAGGAATCTTAACTCATTCTTGCATGGGTTTACAACCCTACCCTCCAATTCTAAGTGTTGTTCATTTTGTAAATATTCTTTTTATTTATTTATTTATTTATTTTGACAGGCAGAGTGGACAGTGAGAGAGAGAGAGACAGAGAGAAAGGTCTTCCTTTGCCGTTGGTTCACCCTCCAATGGCCGCTGCAGCCAGCACGCTGTGGCCGGCGCACCGCGCTGATCCCAAGGCAGGAGCCAGGTGCTTCTCCTGGTCTCCCATGGGGTGCAGGGCCCAAGCACCTGGGCCATCCTCCACTGCACTCCCTGGCCACAGCAGAGAGCTGGCCTGGAAGAGGGGCAACCGGGACAGAATCCAGTGCCCCGACCAAGACTAGAACCCGGTGTGCCAGCGCTGCAAGGCAGATTATTAGCCTAGTGAGCCGCGGCGCCGGCCTAATTTTATAAATATTCTTAAAACCAAAGAATCCTCACATTTGGTGGGTTTTAAGAATCATTTAATTTCATTTTCTCATGTTTCTGAAGGTAAATACAGGCTTATATCTCTTCCTTAAGGTTAGTTGGCTT